TGTTCGTAGCCATGCTACAGCTATATTAGTAGTATAGTTGTAGCACGAATGGTTCTGCTCGACCGGGGTATGCCCACACTCTCACAGAATATCAGCATGAAATAGCAGCTTAATGCTTCTCTGTTTCGTGAGTGTAAAGATCCAGAGATCCTTTTTACTGGTAGAGTCATGCTGCAGCTATATTACTGGTATATATGGTCGGCTGAACCGGGCAAGGACAACGCTCTCACAGAGTACCAGCGTGAAATAGCAGCTTAACACTGCTGTGTTTCGTATGGTGAGTGTAGCGATCCGGAAGAGGAGGAGGAGGTAAGCTCAGTCCTCAGGGGGCACAACGCATCTGCATTTTGATTCTTAATCGAGGATACATGTACCCGTAGATGTAATTACTTCCAAGTGGACTGTTTGCTCGTTTGCCATTTGTGTATATTCTATAAAAAAAATATTTTTACATCTACAAAAAATACAATTCCCGTGATTTCAAATGCAACATTTATTGGCCATAAAACCTGTCCACGTAGCAGAGGTAGAAAGGTGCTCTACTAAACGGTAGCAGCGTGCTCAGCCGGTTGAATTAGGCAATTTTTATTTGGGCATAAATAAAACACGCGCGGTTGCGCCGGGCAATTTGCTTAAAACCGGGCGACGCCCGTAACTCGGTACACTCACACTCGTCTTCCATATTTTTCTGTACATACAACGTTTTTAATAAAAAAATGAAATGAAATACAAAACCTACCTTTACCTAAGCATCAACTTGATCTGATTAGAATATGAACCACAATCTGAAGGCAAATATATGACATAAAATTCAATTTAAACTTTATTAAAATGATTATACATATATAAATAAACTCTCACGCCTTTCACTCAGAGGGGTAGGCATAAATTATGAACTTCCATTTGATAAGATTCAGACACAAATTTCTCGTTTCTTTTACATCCATATACCTGGGCATGTATGCGCCCGTATCATCTGTTAAGGCTACTCATAATTTTGCCCATCTTTAATATATCGATTTTTTTATATAGGATAGGGTGACAAACGACCACACAGTCCACCTGATGGTAAGTGGTTGCTGTGACCTATAGACATCTACATTTATCCTCAATAAAGAATCAAAATGCAGATGCGTCGTCACCCGTGAGGACTAAGATGGAATGCCTCTTTTCCAGTAAAATGGATCTCCGGTTCTCTACGCTCGCCATACGAAACACAGCAGTGTCAACTACTATTCTGTGAGACGCTGGTATTCTGTGAGAGCGTGATCCTTCCCCGGTCGAGCCGACCCATTCGTGCTACAACTATACTACTAATATAGCTGCAGCATGGCTCTACCACGTATAAAGATTTATTTTTAAACAAATGATATAGTAGTGTAGAGTATATCGTATGTCGTAATAAATAATAATATCAGAAATTCTTGTTCAATTTATATTTAACAATATTTAATAGTTGCGTTTTCACGCTCAAAGGCGAAGTTTTATGTTTTATCTCGATTCTCTAAAGGAATACGTTCGAACGTGACTCGTCTCCACTTAACGTCTGTTAGCATCTTCCGCTCTATCTGCATGCGAATACGAAAATAAAATCCAAAATGAATTTCTGTTTAAAAAGCTTATACGGCACGGTAAAAGCTCTCGAGATATTGCTTTCGCCTGGGTTCCCGCGGATCGTATAAATAAAAGTCAATTGCCTCTTTCTCACATACCTAGAAATACATAAACTACTTTTGATACTACAAGTACAAAAACTGTGATGGTAGTGGCTGCGTTAATGAATCTATCGGCCCATTTAGTTCCGTGAGTGTCGTAAAGAGCGATTATGGAATAAGTTGAAAAATCTGATAGCTTCCGATAGATGGCGGTAAAATCAATACGTGGTGGAGCCACGCTGGAGCTGTATTATGGTTGTAGCACGAATAAGTAAGCTAGACCGGGTAAAGGTCACGGTCTCACAGATGTGTTAGAGCCATGCTGCAGCTATATTAAAAGTATAGTTGTAGCACCAATGGGTCGGATCGGCCGGGGAAGGTCCACGCTCTCACAGAATACCAGCGTAAAATGGCAAGTAAGTGTAGAGAACCGGAGACCCTTTTTACTGGAAAATAGGCATTCCATCTTAGTCCTCACGGGTGATAACGTATCTGCAGTTTCATTATTTATTGAGGATAGATGTAGACGTCTATGGATCACAGCAGCCACTTACCATCAGGTGGGCTGTGTGCTCGTTTGTCATCCTATCCTATAAAAAACCAACGTAAAATAGCAGTTTAAATCTTTTGTGTTTCGTATCGAGGTGTAGAAAACTGGAGACCCCTTTTTTGATACGAAGCATTCCATCTTAGTCCTTAGGAGTGACAGTGCATCCACATTTTGATTTTTGGTGGAGGTGTGGATGTCTGTGGGCCACAGTGTGCAGTTACCATCAAGTGGACTGTGTGCTTGTTTGTCACCCTAGTTCTATAAAGAAATTGTTTAAAAAATCTGATGGTTTTCGATAGATGGGGCGGTATGATCACCTCTTCGTCTGACGTAAAATACCAAGACTGGCGACGGGCAGCAGCAGATATTTCACCGTACGATTCAATCCGCGTGACGATTAAAGCAAATTTTCATTACAACTGAATAGACCTATTTCAAGCATATCAAGAACCAGCTGATGAAGAATAATGAAAATAATCAAAGATATCTATTAAATTGATCATGAAGGTAACGCTATTTGCGACTGACATTTTGAAGTTATACTTCTTTTGGCGCGTTTGGGAAAAATAATGAGAGTGAATTTTTTACGAAGCGCGCGCACACCGACACCTAAGAACGACACCGTGAAGTTATTACGATGGACGCGCACACCGAAACCTAAAAGCGACCACTTCGGTTGGTATTTGTCTGTCAACTGTCAAGTTTTCGTGAGAACTGATAACTATATTCAAGGTAGTTATTTTTTAGTTATTTTGTTTTGTTACGCTAAAGAAGTATAACTTCTTACGTGCGTACATAAGTACACACATACGTTATTATGATATAAAGTCTGAAAGACGAGCACCGATCTGATAGCATAGTTCTGATGGTAGATTGATGGTGTAGCCCATAAATACACCAGAAAACTGAAATGACAACCAAACTTAAACTTATAAACATAGTTGTTTTATTTAAATTCACATCCATTTTTTTACATTCATTTACATAATATATTATATATATATTTATATAAAGTATATATTGCAGCATGAATGGGTTGGCTACATCGACGAAAGACATCAGAAGACGTAGAATGCTATTGTAAAATATCGGCATAATACTGCTATTTTTCGTATGGTGAGTGACGAGAACCTGGTATTGAAGCATTCTATCTTAGTACTCAGGGGTGACAGCACATCTGCTCTTTGAGCCAATCCAAGATATGCAGATGTAGGTGTCTTTGGACCATAGCATCCATTTACTATCAGGTGGACTGTGCACTAGTTGGTATTGTGCATTACTAGCTGTAATTGTGCCAAAAATCCTCACATCGTGTAAAAATCCATAAAATGTTACAAATGTTATAAAAGATGTTATGTTTCTCCACGAACATCAATTGTGTATGGTGTATACAGTTTATGCGGTCTAGTTGACTCCCGTTACTACATTCGGAATAAAGCGTCACATCTAATTTACCTCGCCTTAAAAACTATGAAGTCGTAAACTTATGAATGGTTTACGAGCGTAGCTTGGCGACGGCGACGCCATCTATGTAACATGGCTGGGACGTTACTGGCGTCGGCTGAAGGGGTTTATGTCCGACCTACGCTTGTAAATTCATGATTTAACTGTCACTCGTGTGGGTACGTGAAGTTATGGATACGAGATATATTTGTATAAGACGATTTTAAAAGTTTTAAGATTTGGTTTAGTATTTTTTAGAGTGAATTAGATCTTTTTCTACAGAATGTCACGTAGTAGAGCCAAGCTGCAGTTGTATTACAACTGCAGCACGAATAGGTCGGCTCGACTGGAAAAGAAACAGGTTCTCACAAAAGATTAGCAACATAATTTGCTTGTAAAAACTTTAAACGTGGTAGAGCCATGCTGCAGCTATATTAGTAGTATAGTTGTAGCACGAATGGGTCGGCTCGACCGGGGAAGGACCACGCTCTCACAGAATACCAGCGTCAAATAGCGGCTTCATGCTGCTGTGTTTCGTATGGTGAGTGTAGAGAACCGGAGACCCTTTTTTACTGGAAAAGAGGCATTCTATCTTAGTCCTCACGGGTGACAACGCATCTGCATTTTGATTCGCAAACGAGGATAAATGTAGATGTCTATGGGCCATAGCAACCACTTACCATCAGGTGGACTGTGTGCTCGTTTGTCACCCTATCCTATAAAAAAAATAATGCTGAGATTTTACACGAATACCCTTTTTTCAAGCGTTTTTACTTGTAAATATTTTTAATGGATTACAATGTGTGTGCATTTGCTATTGCAGTCCATGGATACCTGTAGGCAGATACGTTGTCACCTCTGAGAACAAAGATGCATCACAGCGTGTAATACTGGCTCTATATATTGTTCAGACTGTAATGATGCAGTGCTAGCACTGCCTTTTGGCGGCAGAAATAAATGAGAGGGTGGTAGCTAGGTACCCTGTTACCTAGTAAACAACTTTTTTAGTAAATATAGTGAGATGCCAAAGTTAGTATGTATATTTGAAAAACCAGCCAGCTATTATTATTTTTCCCGATTTTCGCTGTTACGGCACAGATTGTCAATTGTCCAAAATCCGAGGTGCACTGCAGGAATAGTCGAAACAGACCCAAAAAAAGTTGTGACCCAATTATTACTTTCATATTCTTTAGTTATGATTAATTGATGAAATCCTACTACTAAAACTAAACGATAAGATTTCTTTCATAACAAACGCTATGAAGGATCTATAAATTTCCTTATTGTTTATTATTTATTCAAACTTAACAATAATATAAACTAAAAAAAAAGTGTAATAAACTTCAACATACCTGGACCCGAGCCTCGGTAAGGTTGATCTTAAGCGCGAGATCTTCCCTAGTGAACACGTCGGGATAGTGCGTTTGCGCGAACGCCGTTTCCAGTTCCTCCAGCTGTAATAAAGCGCTAATATCTATATTCGTGTATTTTTAAACAGTTTTACTCGAATTAATTTTAATAAATACAAAACTTAGATTGTGAAAATCTTTTTATACTATTTGCAGATTAATAATCTTTAAAATACACAAGACCTTGTGACTTTTATAGTTAATGACATGCCGAAAAGTGATGAATGACTATCTTATATATGTTGTCCATATTTTTGGTCCGTAACGAAGAATGCTGGTCATGGATTTCTCACATTGTAAGAATAATTTGCCGTTACCTTTTTAATCTATATTTATTTTTTTAAACTTTTACTTATCTGTTCTATTCAGTAACAATTAATAATGTCCTACAGGCCAAATTTCAGTCTTGGCGGCCAGTCTTAACGGAGATTAGCCATCTGCATAGGACAAGATTATAGTGCACGAATCTGCACAGATGCACTTTATATTACCTCACTCTCATAGTCCGATGGGACGGCAATCCGGCAAGACTAGGCACAGCACCAACGCTTTTCGTGTTTTCCGAGGGACATGAGTGAACACAAACAACAAGCAAAGAGGATTTCTCGACAGAAAAACCAAAGAACCGGACAATTGTGTTTTTAGAAATATAAAGAATGTATATACACATGTATATGCCAAAATAAATACTGACTTTTTATCAGGAATGCTGCTGCCCATTTCCCGTTTCAGTTTCCCTATGGGTTAGTAAATCTTCTAACACGGTCCACGGTCCATCCTTATGAGACAATCTATGGGGGTAGGCCTATATTCAGCAGTGGACTTTTATAGGCTGTAATGGATGGTAATGGATAATATACATAAATATTTAAAAAAATCTCACCTGTTGTAGCGTAAAGGTGGTTCTATTCCGACGCTGTTTGCGACGTACGAAAGTGTCATCGTGGATGGCTGGATGGTATGAGTAGCTCGTGTCTGTTGATGAAATTGAATTTTAAATAATAATACTCCAGACATACAATGCTGCAATAACTGGATAAAACGATTAAAACGATTATTTTTTATTTAAAATCCAACTTAATGATATGTTGTCAACCCTGGGTGTCAAAGGCAAGATGTTAGCAGGTGCGAAATATCTTACTCATATAAAGGGTACATACATAATATATTAAAAACAATTGATATATATATATATATATATATATATAATGACTTCTTATATTTACGCGAACGATACACACACACACATACACATTAAATGAATCTAATGTTATGGATTTCATTGCGCCAAGCCCAAGCATACTACTGCAAAACTTCAAGACACTGTAAACTGCGTAGATTAGACCAAAAATTTATATTCTAAAACTGAAAATAGCCGGACTATCATATTGGGATGTCAAACACCTCAGTCTCCCCACCCCCCGTGACCATGCGTACTGTACTGTAAAGCACCCGAAACGTCGGAATTAAAAAGACTAAATTAAACGCGATAAAATCCTTAAAATATATATATATATATATATATATATATATATATATATATATATATATATATATATATATATATATATATAATAAACACTATGAAATATTTTCCTATATTTATTAAATAAGATCACTCTATTAACATAGCTTGTAGTACCGTTCGCCACACAAACTTAGTTATGTGTACAATATGGGCTATTCTAGTTTAATTTAATATGTGATGATATTCAATGATAATTTCATGATAAATATGAGAACAATTACAATTTTCTACAAGACGTAACAAAAATACAAACAACTCAAAAAGAAAAACAAAGTTAAATGGTACTATTATACAAAATACAGTAGCCATAAAATTAGAGTCCACCGGAAGCATCGCCCCATTACATCTGAAGTGCTAAATCGCGCCCTAACAGACGTTTTTTCTGAACAGTATCCGCACGTTCCAGCGAATTGATGAGGTGGAGACACAGTATAATAGTAGGGTGAACATAAATCTTGAATTTAGTAGATGTTTGATTTTATGGGTTTATCACGATCAATTTATACTTATTATATACACCCACGGTATGAAGTGGTTTGCCTTAAAAATCTGCAATCCTCTCTTGACATTTGAAAAAAAGTAAGTTGAACGCTATAATTTTCAAAATTCAACTTGCAATATTCGTGTAAATATAAAAACTATTACGACTTCTTTATACATATTCCATTTGATTTATGAACCAATATGTTTTTCATTTATCATATTTTAATTTTTATCTTTTACCAAATCGAAAATCGAATGCATCACCCCATTTCACCACTTTTGTGTCATAAGAAACGACTACGGTAATGCCACTAGGATCTTCTGGCTTTCGACAGATCTTCACATTGATAATTATATACACAGGCGTTACTTTGCGGAAATCTATTATGAAGAAGCGACGAACGGGGATTCCTCAACTTCAGCTGTGACTGCCTCGTTTAGAGGCGAACGCTCTAGCTTGACTCTACCACGTATATGTACCATGTATAAAAACGTTAAATGTCGCGCACACCTCAACGTGTGTCATGCCACAGATTCTTAGGTACGCCGCAACGTCATCGCATTTATCACAGCGTTGCGCCGTAGTAAGATGGCCATTCTAGATTTTATCTAAGAACGTTATAATTCTTAGTGGTCTTCACCTGAGGACGCCTCGTTTGGAGGTGAAACTCGTATCGTATTATCGACGTCGGTGTGTCTTTCCTAGTGTTGTGGTGTTGAAAAAAGTGGTACTGGGATTAGTGGTGACAGAGATAGTGCACGCAATTGAGAGAGGGCGGCAAGTGCTAGGTAAGACACGTCATTTTATTTTATTACTAGCTGTTTCCCGCGACTTCGCTCGCATGGAATCATTAGTTAAGTTATTAGAAGTTGATTTCATGGGTTGTTTTACGCAGAACCCTAATATTTTTCTAAAATTAAAGTAGCTTAAATTATTATCTATAGAATCGGTCCAGCAATTTAGGAGGTTAGCCGGCACAAACAGACAGACAGACAGACCGACAGACAAAAAATTTAAAAATTGTTTTTTTGTTATAAGTATCGTAAATAATTTCAAATGCATTTAGTAGAAAGTTGTTATTTTGATATTACAAACAGACACTTCAATTTTATTTATTTGTATAGATGCGGATCTTGGCTATTTAAAGTTGAATATCTTTAATCATCTCATTGACACCAAACATAAAATACCCAGTCGGCGGCGGGAAGAAGTATCAAATGCAAGACTTTTTTTTATAATATTTAAGTAACAAGCTAACTAATACCAGCCATGGTAGGTGGTCCACAGTCATGGTAAGTGGCTACTGCAGGCCATACACAACACTCTGCAAATCATAGCCACCCTATTGCGTAGCGATAGATTCAGACAAATGCTCGGGCGGTCGCTCCCCTACACCTAACTTTTCTATTATTCTTGCTGATAATGTCATTCCGTGCGTTACAAGTCGAAGATTACCCTCGGCTTTCGGGATTACGGCTGTCTTCGCCCTAAATGACATTTATTACAGTTTATTATTATTTTCTTTTTTGGTTGATACATCTGTAATAATTGGAATCGTATAAATAATGGCTGTACAGTAAACTTTAAAAATTCAAATTTTCTATGTTCATACTTCCCTCAGCACTGTCATAAAGAGGGCCAGGTAATCTATCAACTTCCTCTTACTATCTTATCTTAGTCTTCAGATTCTTAATCGTGTATGAATGTAGATGTCTATGGGCCATAGCATCCATTTACCATCAGGTGCACTGTGTGCTCTATTATTTTATAAAATGATATAATTTTATAAAAAAAATATCATGCTATGGAAATGCATCTGACTACTCTCCCATTTAATCGTCATTCCTCCACAAGAAGAAAAGGTAAATGAAAAGGTCTCCACGATCCGTTAACTAATTATGTCTCTGAATCTAAACTTATATAATTATAATAGTTTGTTTAGAATATTATAGTTACGTAACACATCTGCTCAATCGACAATCATATGATATATAGAGTTAATGTGTCGAGTGAGTCGAAACGATACAAATTGCTTCAATTAATTCACTCCATTAGCTGGCCGGCGCCGACCACGTCTTTTGCTTCGAACAAAAATGTTTCAAACTATGTTAATTAATTATTGAAAACAGTATTTTGTCATAAGAAAGAAGCACTATTTGTAAAAAGTATTTAAATTTTACTATTTTGAAGACGCGTGTAAACGATTTTCATACAACATTTTTTTTTCTGTAGGTTGGTGCCATGTTATGTACAAAGGTAATCTGTCCATTCAATACAACGTAAAGTTACAGCCTGTATATGTCCCACTCATGGGCCTAGGTGTCCTTCGATATGTGAGAGTGTCTTCGAAATATTTTTCTTTTATTTAATTTCACAGACCTGCAGGTTTCCGGACGTGTTCGGTGTTCTTTACCGCCGAGCACGTGGTAAATCAGTACTTAAAATTGCAATCAACAATTTCCTCGTGTTCTGTGAATTTTACAGCTATAACACAGTATATAAATATTATTCATAGTTATGAACGTTAGCTTTATGTTTAAAGTAAAAATAATTATGATTGTGAGCTAAATTTGGCTGAAGTTATTTTTTAAATTAACAGTTAGAACCTTTGGTATCCAAATAAATTCTTTCAGTTTGTTATAAGTGATAAATTAGCTAAGAGTCTACCTGATGTTAAGTTACCACTGCAGTCGTTGGATACCTCTAACCAAATTCGAACAAAAAAAGCCTATTGATATATTGTCACTCTTGAGAATTCGCACCTGTACCGAAACAACACAGTGAGAGAACTATTACTTGTTGTCGAATAATCCCGAGAAACTTCCTTAGAAAAATCAATTTAAACTTTTAACGAGTTATGGTGCAAGGTTAACAAGATTTTGATGCACGTTTTTTAACTATTATAAGCCACAATGAGTGGCTGTTGGTGAGCGGCGATGCAACCGAAGATGACATTGCTTAACATATACCTATGTCATGCTATTCCCGCTTTTCGAAATTTATCCTGTAAAACACCGAAAGGTTGGCTACTTTGCTCCTGTGCTCGAGACTGAAAAGATTGGTTTCAACCATATTTAGGTCACCAATAAGCCTCTTAGCGCGTCTTTTCATGAGTCCGATGCCGCTAGGTGGCATTTTGTAGCCAGCCAATAATATGATAACGATACTACATGCACAACCCGACTTGCGCTTTATACAGTAGGTATAAAGCGCAAGTCGCCTGGGAAGAACCAACAAGAAACCCAGCGGGACTTTTTCTTAAATAAATTTTACAATATAAATGATTATAAACTATTTACAAAATTTATTTTAGAAACTGCTTGGAAGCGACCACCTCATTCCCAGGGGTTATTATCAACCATGTATTCATTTATACTATAATAACCCTTTTTATACAGTTTCAGCTTAAACTTGGTTATTAATAGATAGAGCCTGTATACTTTCCGGGACCTTGCTGTAATAGCGTATACATTGCCCCCAAGAATGAATTACTGACTCTGTGGAGTCGAGAAACTGGTATCACTAGCATGTGTTTGTTCCTAGTGTTTACAGAATGTATATCACTTTTTTTACTAAAACTACCTTTGTTTTTGTGAACATACATTAAATTATTGTAAATATACTGAGAGGCCAAAGATAATAATATATTTATTTCTTTAAATTTATCTCTAAGAGACTCTCTCGGTTTTAGATTGTAAATAGCTCTAATGGCCCTCTTTGTATATATTATAATATATGTAATATGTATATTGTATATTTATGATAAAAATGATTGTAAGAGATTAAAACAAATAACTTAATACATTTCTACGATTTTTAGAATTGTCTGTATGTCCGTCTGTTTGAACGTTTCACATCTAAAGTAGCTAATATTTTTAATTCAATAAATACCAAAATGCTGTTATTTATTTAATAAAATGATGTTACTTAAAATAAATAGAAATAAAAAACAAGTCACACACTCTTCACCGTTCAATTAATACCAAAACATCCAGACTAAAGCAGATTAAAAATATTTACACTAATTGAATATTAAAAATTGAGCCTTCATCAACACTGTAGAAAAATCCCCGGACAGCGGAAATTAAAAAGTGTTCTGTGCCCACAGGAAGTCAACCTCGAGCTTAAGTGCAGCGGGAAAAAGTTTATCCGCGCTCGCTCTTTATAAATGCAACCAGATTTATAAATAGTGGTAACACAGGTAAGCTTAAAATGTATGAAATAAGTTCTTTTAGTTTATCACTTTATTTTATAAACACCTTAATAAAAATAATTTAATAAAAATTACTTAGTACCTTTTGACATTTTCTCCCAGTTAACCCGGGACGTGTGGAATTAATATGATAGGTGCCTATATATGAAGTTTTGAAGTATGAATTATTCTAACTACAGCACGATTTTTTTAAATAACAAAAAATAGCGAAGCGCGTGTTAAGATAGGCATACTGAGATTTCCGCAGGGCAGATTATCTTTAATTTTTTCTAAAGTTAAGTACTCTTTGCATTATATTCTTATTTTATAATTGAGACGCATTATGAAAAACTTCTTATCTTGTCAATAATTCTAAAAAATTATGATTCTGAGACTAATTGGTAAATATTTTTGTTTCTCAGGAAGAATCATCATTCTGTATTCCTAAACATTTTTTTTGAATTCACCATACGCACCAAACTACAAAGTACAATTTTGATTCCTATACCAAACCAAAATAAATATCCCACCTGGAAACGTTGGTTCAGTAGTATAAGTATTTTGTAGTAAACTTTGAAATAAAATGACTCCAAAGTTATAGAAATTTTAGATATGAGCAGTAAAATAAAAAGATAATTAAAATACATAATTTTTGCGTAGGTATATTCTCGTTACAAACTAAAGGTTCATCTCCATCATGCGATGATCAGTCAACAACGGTGCGTTGCCCTAATAAGGCCGCAGCTAAGCATCAACGCTGCGCTGGAAATTGCTTCGTACATTTTTAATAGATTCGTTTAAAACGCTTTTTTATTCATCTACTAGCCGCGGTATAGCTTTTAAAAACTTCGCAGCACCGGCTAGCAATTCGTTAATAGATTTTAAAAATTAATATGCTTACGCAATTACCGCCGGTCGGGATGTCATTTTCGACGGCCCTAATGAAATAAGGCCATTCACTAACGCTGTTACTCTGTCCTTTGATAGCGTCGTATTAAAGTAAAAAAGCGGTACGCGTCGGGACTAATCCAAAGTGACATGATACTTATTAAATTAGTTTGGATGTAACCGAGTTATACGACCGGCGGTGCTACTCAAAAACTATTTTGTGAATAATAGATGGCGCCGGCGACCAATCCCGGGGGACCGGGGCGCCCCGCCCAACGGCGCCTTCGCCCCGCCGCCGCCCTGTCTCAACCCCGAACACCCCGTCCTGCCTTCTCTATTCATTAGCACATTACCACCCCTCGGATACGTAAACCGGACGGAATAACACAAGCATCTGATTTTTTTCACTTTCGAGAAAATTCTTAAACTGACTTAACTTTGGATTTGATTGATTGATTCACAATTGAGTAACAATTTTTTGATCAATAATAACTTCAGGGCACTAGAATCGTCGGCATTTAAAAATTAATTTAATCGCGATAAAATCTAGGTACACTACGCCCATTTTTATTAATAACGTTCTACAAAGTTTGCTTATTAAAAAAAATGGGTAAGGTAACAAATACAAATTTAATATAAACTTACAGATGTAGCTACAAAAAGTAATTATAAACATTTCTGATGATTAATTTAGACTTATACATGCACATTATAAATACTTAAAAATAAAATAATACAAAATAAATAAAAATTCAAAAAGAATACAACAAAACAGAATATATGTAAAATATATCAAAATAATCTGATTTAGATTAAAATGATTAATCCTATTTGAAATAGGTGTTTTAAAAAAAGTTACCGAAACGTAAAAACAAAATAGAGTCACAAATCGAGATAAGGCAACGGTCTTAAGTGGCTTTAATGCCATTAGCCTGGCTGCGGCTTCGTGAAACTTGGTTAGGGAAGTTTCGAGACCGATAAGTGAGCTAATCGAGGCGACTTTTGCTTATGCAGTTAACTTAGACCAGCACTTAAAGAACACATTACTTATGGAAATAAACTGTGTAACTATAAACTGCAGCATAATCCTACTTAGGCTATAAACAATTTTACACTCCCTTTATACTTTATAGTGGTAATAAATGTTTACAAAAATTTGGATTACCCTTAACACTCTGCATATTATTACGTATTAAAAATACTAAGATATACTTATTTGTAATTCTTTTTTTTTTTTTGAAATTTAAAGTAAGTAGCACTGTAAATCCACGCGCTGTGAAGAAAACCGTTGTGAGGAAACCAACCAACCAAGTCTGAGAGATTATTTCTATGAAATTACGTGGTACATACTTAAATTTCTTCTTTTCGTGTTTTTGATACTTTTTTCCTAATTGATTTTATTTACTTATTTCAGAATAAGTTTAAAAAAGGAGAAACTGAACGTGCTTCCCAAAGTCAAGATGTGTACGAATCGGCTTCTGTTAAAATCTTGGAAAATTAAACCAGTGTACGAAAAGCTGCAAAACATTTTCACGTGTCATGTGTCGCTATAATATAGATATGTGAAAAAAAAGGAGAGTAACAAATCTCTTATCAGTCGGCTATGTGAAACCCAGATTGGTTTTTAAAGAGGAAGAAGAAACTAAAATATCTGAGTACTTGCTTCAACATCTACTTTGTATTGCTTCTTTTGGAAATCAGAAAGTTGGCATATCAGTGTGCTGTTATGATTGAAGCGAAAAATTACCTCCGTCATGGCATAAAAATGAATCGCAGGGACCTGATTGTTTCAAAAACTTTATGGCAAGAAACCTAAGACTGTCTCTGAAGACGCCTGAAGCTATATATCTGAGCCGCGCAACATTCTTTATTAACGTTCCTTTATAGTTTAAAAAAAGAAAGAACATGTTTCTTTTTGAATATTTTTCTATTAGATTAAAAATAAAACTTAAAAGTTTAAGTCTGTTTTAACGTGTCTAAAGTTTTTAATGTTAAATATGCTAAATAAGTCTTTGAAAAATAGAAAACTGGTTTTCTATTCCTACTGTTACAATTTGCCCCACGCCTGTTACAACTAGCCCCAATCACGGGGTAAGTTGTAACACTCGTCACTTTTTTTTCTATGCCATTTTTACAAGAATTCATTTCAGGTTTGATCAAAATTTTATTTGAAATCGATAGTTGAGTAGTAGCTCATTCGAAGAGTACTGCTGTATTTTCTAAATACACTATAAGTAAGCTTCCATAGCCAAGTAACGAAAAATTGTTACAACTAGCCCTAGTATAGTTGTAGCACGAATGGGTCGGACCGGCCGGGGAAGGACCACGCTCTAACAGAATACCAGCGTAAAATAGCAGCTTAACACTGCTGTAGTCCGTTTCGTTCGTTCTCACGGGTAACAACGCATCAGAATTTTGATATTTTATTGAGATTTTTTAAAAATTTTGTACAGCCGACTTCAATACAAGTTATTAAGAATTACTCAAAAACTATTGGCTTGACCTTGAACAAATTCATATGGGACCATACGAGAACTACCAGCTTTCAAATAAAAAAAGAATTATCGAAATCGGTCCACACATAAAAAAATACAGTGGAATTGAGTACCGTCTCCTTTTTGGAAGTCGGCAGAAAAAGACTATAACTTTACTTTTAACCGAATTAAAAAAAAATGAAAAGGTTTAAGGTAAACGGAAAATAAAACAAAATAGGGAGTAAATATTTTGTTTTATTATCTTGTGATATTTCTTAGCCCACTCAAAAGGATAAAAAATAAACTTTAATTATTGGACTATTATTATATTGAAGTATTTTACTTTAATTAAATAATAGCTTCTAGAGTCAGGGCTATGAGTACGCTAGGTCTTGCATCTACTTTACAAGATAATATGTTGAAAATATTTAAGTTTTTTTTAATTTTAAAGTTGGTTCTACTTTTTATTAAAAGGTTAAATAGTAATTAAAAATATTATGTTTATATCTTCATATCGATAAAAATTAATAAGAATTAGAGAGAAGAATTGTAAAATTTACAATTTCACAATTCCCATTCCAATTCAAAAACCCTCTCAGAAACTAGACGTGCCCAGCAGTGGGACTTATAATGCAGGCTTTAACTTTTTAACTTTATGAAGAATTGGCTAGATCGCATCGAATAGCAGAGTTCCAGTAGTTAGTAACGTAAACAAAACTCAATAATGTCGTAATACAGGCTATTATTTATTCCATGATACCTACAGCTAATTCTGAAGTACAGAATATGAAAGAGATTTTTAAATGATGACATTGTGCCTGATTTGTATATTCATATAAGTTTTAGATAAATAAAAACCCAAAATAATCTTAACTGTATAATTAATCCATGGCGGGGGGAAGCCATGCTGCAGCTATATTAGTAGTATAGTTGTAGCACAAATGGGTCGGCTCGACTGGGAAAGGACCACGCTCTCACAAAATACCAGCGTAAAATACCAGCTTAACACTGCTGTGTTTCGTATGGCGAGTGTATAAAACCAGAGACCCTTTTTACTGAAAAAGAGGCATTCCATCTTAGTCCTCACGGGTGACAACGCATCTGCATTTTGATTCGCAAACGAAGATAGATGTAAATGTCTATGGGCCACAGCAACCACTTACCATCAGGTGGACTGTGTGCTCGTTTGTCACCCTATCCTTTAAAAAACCTGTCTCGGGTTGCTCGATGACTATGAAGTTTAAGGGGAGCAATTCATCCCTAAGCTACCACGGTTATCTTGCGATACGTGCGAATATATTTTTATACTTACAAGGGTGCGAGGCTGTGAAGGGATACTCCAGCGTAGGCAGTCTGTGCTGATGCGGCGGCAGGCTTGGCGGGCAGTGGTAGCAGAACAGGCCACGGCCGCCGCCGCCGCCGTTCGCCAACTGCGACAAACAATCTTATTTACTACCTACCTGGATACTTTGAATTGGTTGGATACTTTTCACGTAATTAGACGTTATTAGGTGAAAAGTGTCCAATCCACACTCGGATCAACACAGTTATGTATATATCTGTGTGCCAAGTATTAGTGAGCCAAAATAATTCTTAGTTTATTACTTATTAGTATACAGTAAAATGTTTCCAACAAGAAAAGTGGTAGAGCCATGCTGATATTATGGTTGCAGTACGGATAGGCTTTAAAACTTTAAACTACCTAATGGATTTGGAAATCACCAAAATTTAAATATATTCCTCACTTATTTCATTATTTTATTTAAAGATAGTAGCCATTTTGTGATCAAGATAACTGGTGAATCGAACCCGGGACGAGCCGCTTTTGATAAAGAATACATTGTATGACCAGGCCGACCGACCGACACGACTGAACGTCAACCACCGGAGCTGGCAATATTGAGATTATTAGGTAACATCGTTGCCATATATTGAAAATATCGTTAGAAAACCACCTGTCTAAAAACAAAACACATTTTGATGCGAATTCCGTATACCCCTGAGAGCCTGTATAAAGCAATAAGATGGATACTTTGTTTAACTTTTGCACAGAATCATAAACCATATTCCATTAAGTTAATTTAAAATGTTATCTTTGATGCGTGTCTTGTAATATTTATTTATCATTCATCAGAGACCGTCACCTTATGATTGACTTTATAAATTCATATCGGGAAACAATCGTAAAGCGCTTAATAAATATCCATTACGAATGATTACAAAAAGGGATCTAATACAACGCATTAGCATAGAGACGATGCCGCCATAATAATAGGCCGCTAGCGACAATCGTTGATAGCGCAACGCATCTAGATCACTGTTAAATATCCCGTGGTATGATATCAAGGCGCTATAGCGATATAATTGTGCGGTTGTGAGCTACAATCCAACTTGATCATAGGCACAATGACACCGTTCAAAACGAATTCGCAACTTAGCATGAATACTAAATGAGTCGGATACTAAGACGCTAATTTCATTTTATATTTATATATTTATACATATAGTAAAAGTAATTTAAAAAAATCTCAATAATTATATCCTTTTTATCTTTTAAATTCAAAATGCGTGGTAATGCATTATTTTAACTGATGATGATGCGCACGCGAGCCGTGGTAGCTCAGATGGTTAGCACTAGCTGTTAGTTTCATACGCGAGAAACCCGGGTTCGATCCCCGCCGGCACCAACGAAATTGTAAAACGTTGTTGCCCATAAATCACTTTGAAATTGGGATAATTTCAAATAAAATTAGAAGCCTTATTTACTCGTATTTTCAAAAACTGCAATAACGGTATATCGTTATTTATATATTTGAACTTAAGTTTAAAATTTGACTACTCTTTGAAAAATAACTCTGTATATTGATGATTTTTTCTTAGAAAGTCCTAGGCAAAGTCTAACATTTTGTACCCGACTTCGGTGGAGTTCACAAATAATATTATTTTTTTATATGACCGTCTCTTTAATCGCCCATAACTCCTAAACTATTAGTAACAATCAAATATTTAACAATATAAAAGATCGCAACAATCACAAAAGAAGATTGGTGGTGCAAATGAATATAATAAATAAAATGTAATTCAGTTGCATTATAATGACACAGCTAGAGTGCGGCATGTAATGTTTCTTTTGCTAGTGACTAGTGTACATGTAACAAATGGGACCTCCCGCTCACGACGATGCAATATAGCAATTTACTCATCGAAAATGACTAATTTATATATGCGAGGCACGTACTCTGTTACAAACAAGCAGTAAAACGTGCATTAGACATATATTATAATCATACAACATTTTATCCAGATTTCATCACGAAGAGTGTTGTTTCCAACACAGACGTAACCAGTTGCATTATTCATTATCATTATGATTACATCCCTTCACAAGTCCACTGCTGAACACAAGCCTCCCCCCAAAGAAATGCCACAAAATTAGTTGTACGGATATTTATGGAAAATACATTATTCATGGAGATAAAAAACATAAAATCACTACACTACTTCTTCTTCTTAATAACTGGCTTTACGGCTCTGGAATCTACCCCTTCTGAGCCTGAAGTTACAATATTATATTATAATAATTATTCTTCATAGTATACTGCTTCACAATATGTTGATGCGTCACATTGTGCAGCCCTTGGGAGATTTTAAGGGCAACTTGAGCCAGCAGACAGCTGACGGTTAGCGATGGTATCTCAAGGCGCCTAAGCAGACAGGCACCTTATTTTGAGAATCACATCACTATCAGAGCACCTGTTTCACAGTTTCCACTAATAGTTCACATGAGCAGACACTTAATACACAAAATCGCACAACTTTTACATATCAAAGTCCACTTCAAACTATTATTTAAACAATAAAACAGGAGCAGCAAACCGCCGCCGGTCAAATTCCCGCCAAAACCTCAATACACTACACTACACTAACACCACAGAGTAAATAATAGTACAAGCTAACATACAGAATTTCTAGACTTACGTACGTACGCGAATAATTGACTTATTTGCTACACTTTGCAGTCGTGTTATAAAGTAAAAAAATTAAAAGTGTTGTAGTGGTTTAAATTCAGGAAAGTATTGGTATTGTTGCTTTGCCTTTGCTCTATAGCCGCTAACTCTACGAGTTAACTTAAAACCGCAGCTAGGTTACGTACCAGTTATGGTCAAAATCTGCTACTATCAGTTTTGTTTCATATGTTTAATTAGCCTCGAAGTCTACATATTATATTTTATATTACTCTTATATTCATAACTACGTCAGTTACAGATAAAACGTTTAAATTCTCTTACTTTTTATAAGACCGCGGTAGCGATATACTGGAAAATCACATTTATCACGTGGTAGAGCCATGTTGCAGCTATATTACTGGTATAGTTGTAGCACGAATGGATCGGCTCGACCGGGGAAGGACCACGCTCTCACAGAATACCAGCGTAAAATAGCAGCATAACGTTGCTGTATTTCGTATGGTGAGTGTTGAGAACCGGGGACCCTTTTTTACTGGAAACGAGGCATTCCATATTGGTCCTCACGGATGACAACGCATCTGAATTTTGATTCGTAATCGAGGATAGATGTAGATGTCTATGGGCCACAGCAACCACTTACCATCAGGTGGACTGTGTGCTCGTTTCACCCTAATTCTATAAAAAAAAATTTAACCATTGGGGTTCCAGAATGCGTCTAATGAGTAGTTTCTTGGAATATTTTACCCGAACTAACCACGCTGCTGCGTTCATCAATGTGCCCAACATTAATAAACGTAACTGCTTGTTGTCGTTAGTTTGCGTCTTAAACACCAATAATTTTTATATAATTTTTTACCGTTTCTCTTTGTCAACTATAACACACCCATGATTAACTAACTATTTTATACATCCAGCATTGCATTTCGAAACTATGGTGAGAATCGCTTTCCGGCGGAAATCTAACATTTCATTAGATATTAAAATAGATAATAAAATAATATATTAAATATTAATATAAAATAGACATCGATTTATAGTCAATACTGATTTCTATTAAAGTAAACGCTACGCTTTGAATAAAATTACTTTTACGGATTTTATTGCAATCGATTTTAAGTACTTATTTTTAATTTTATTCTATTATTTGAAAGGATATTTAAATGAATTTTTACGCTGGTTTTATACATCTTTCCACGTAAAGGAACATATAGCTCCGGGATTTCTACAATCTGTGATCATATCCTAGACTGCTCCCGCCATCCCATCAGATTTGATATACCATTAATCCTTGCATAAGTAATAACATCTTTTCCTACCAAGAATGATTCGTAAGACTATTGAAATTAAAAAACATCCTAATTTCAATTAAAGAAGGCGGCTGGATCCTGTATCATGATTCTGTAATTAATAAAATCAAAACCAAATCCAAATATACCACTACATGACTTTAAGATACAGTATTAAGCTCATTTTGACCTGAAATCAAACTTAATAATCAAAAGCTGAAGGTACACAGAAGTTGCTGTAAAGCACTAGAAACGTCGCAAGTTAAAACAAGTAAAATTAAATGCGATAAAATCCGTAAAAGTAGTCTTATTCAAAATACTGGTTCAACTATACTCATACACAATACAACGAAACCAAGCGTTAGACAGCATAAAATACCAGCGTAAAATAACAGCTTAATCCTACTATATTTTGTATGGTGAAAGTAGAAAGCCAAATCATTCCATCTTAATCCTCAGCGGTGACAACGCATCTGCATTTTGATTCTTAATCGAAGATTAAGGTAGATGTTTATGGGCCGCAGTCATCGACCACTAATAAAAACTAGATACTCGTACACAATCCCATGCAAAAGTTCTCTAAAAACTTTCGCCAATTGTTTTGGCGTAATTCTAGTTGAAATAAATATACATTAATGTAAATTCAACCTTAAATGCATTGCCTAAAGTGTTCACAAAGCTACGTACAAATTAAAAGCGCACCCAAATGTTCGAGTGGGAGCTCATTCGATAAGGACATTTTTGTCACTGTCGATCACTAATAAGTGATCGATGGCTGCAATATCCACTTATCATCAGGTGGATTGTGTGCTCGTTTGTTAACATTATTATATTTTTTTTTAAAACTGTAATTCGACTTGAACTTGCCTGTAATTATACTGACACTCTGTGCCCTTGGGACCTGAATAAAGTAGCGCAAGTACTGCTATCCAAACGAATCCCACCAGAGTTATACAATATCACTGTTAATAATGGGTAGCAAAATCTTACTCGCCATTACCAGACCCATACTTACCATTAGGCGTATTACGTATCTTGCCCTAGCTACTCGTAACTAGCGACCACAAGGCAGCGCTGTCGCTAGTTAGCTTGGTTATCGCTGATACGTAATACGAATCTGCGATTTATCAGCAATTATTATTCTAATTTCGCTATCGCTAGCCTTCTGCAAGATAC